TTCTAACCCCCTAGGATTTTGGTCTGTGCACCCCTTCTATGACAGGATGCACAGACCCTGGGCTAGAGGTCGCTGTGATTCGAGAAGCAAGCATGAGGTATAGAGTCCAAAGAGCTGGATTTGAACCCTGGTAACTTCTCTTAACATCTGTGTGACCTTAGACAAATTTCTTGGCCTCTTTGTGCATTGATTCTATCTTTGAATAATAGGGGTAGTAACCCTCTCTTCTACAAAATTGGGCTGTTGTAAAGATTCCAGTAAAGGAAAGAATGCACAAACACCTCATAAATGGTAAAATGCTCTCCAGAAGTTAAAGAATAAGAAACCCTCATCTTCCTGAGAAGAGGTGCAAGTAGTATCTTGAAAATTCAAATAAGCCCAAAGTGATGGCAGGTTGTCCATTCTACTCGGTGGAATTTTTCAAGCTCCAGTCCAGGAAATAAGTAGCTGGGAGCTTTAAGCCCAGCAGAGGGCCCCAGGAATGCACTGGCAACCATCATGACATCTCTGTTTTCACTGATGATGGTGAGGACAAGACTAATAATGACCAGAATAAGAAGGGCTAAAAATTACTGAGCGCTTTTTATGTGCCAAGTCTAGGGCAAAGGGCTTTGCAGGCATTATCTCATGGAGTCCTCATACAACCGGCATGGCCATGAGCACTGTTATTATCCTCATTTTATGGCTGAGAAAACAGCTCCAAGGGGTCACATAGCTAGCAAGGGGTAAAGCTGGGACAATTCAGACAGCACTTTATCTGTAGGAGTTTTCTCTGTCACCTCTTCACTGAGCTTCCCTTGGCCTGATGTCAGCCTCAGAGGCATTGAGGATCCTCTTGGTTGGTTTCTATTGCTGCTGTAACAAATTACTGCAAATTTAGTTGCTTAAAACAACACACAGGTATTACCTTATAGTTCTGTAGGTCAGACTGGCATAGGTCTCACTAGGCTAATATCAGACTGTTGACAGGGCTGTATTCCTTCTGGAGGCTCTAGGGAAAAGTCTATTTCCTTGCCTTTCCCAGCTTCTAGAAGCTGCTTATATTCCTTGGCTTCTGTCCCCTTCCTACATTTTCAAAATGCCTCACTCCAACCTCTGCTTCTGCTGATAAATCTCCCCTCTCCGACGTTGACCCTTTTGCCTCCCTCTTATAAGGACCTTTGTGGTTACAGCGAGCTCACCTGCATAATCCAGGAAAATCTCCCTATTTCAAGATCCTTGACTTAATTACATCTTCAAAGTTCCTTTTGCTGTGTACGGTGATATATTCACAGGTTCTGGGGATTGGAATGTGGACATCTATGCACAGGAGGGGTGGGAATTATTCTGTACACTATTCAGACTTTACATCAGGGCAACAGTGACCAGTGGAAATAAGACAAATAGAAAAAATCCCTTTCCAGTGTCAAACTCCAGAATCAGCCTGTAGTGGGTGAGAGCAGCACTGTGCAAAGCCCCTCACGGAGGCAGTTCCCAGGCCACAGTCCAGCGCAGAGAAGCAAAGGGCTGTCAGGGACAAATGTTTTCAGGGCTTCCAAATCTGTCCAGGGCTGGAGGTGTTCAGATGACCTGATGGACATGTCTAGTGTTGCTGACCATCAAAACCTGAGGTTGTTGTGCAACCTCATGCTCACAGAGTGCTGGCAGGTTATGATGACTTCTTCCAGGAGTTTTCCTACAGGAAGACAATGTACCTGCCAACATTGACACTCAGGTTTCTCTTTGTAAGTCGATGTCATCACAGTCTCTTGTGAGTTAGGTGCAGTGAATCAGTGTCCACAGGATTAATCAGCTCAGGGGCATGGGCTAAGGAACTTAGCCATGCTAAGGCTAAGAGTTGGACTTCTGGGCTAAGGAACAGTCATCCAGATAGTGCTATGCTGGGGAGGGTTCTTGGGGGTCTGCCAGCTGGCCTATCCCTGGAGATGCCAGACACTGCCTTTTCAACACAGGTACTCAATCCCTGGTTATTTAGTAGAGGTAATGATCACTTCCAATTTTTTCAGATGTGCAATTCAGGCTGTGATTCAGCATATTTATTACTATTTTCACTCCAACTTCAATAGCCATGTTTAACAAGCAAATTTTATAAAATAAATCTTGCTAGAGAAAATCACAATAAGAAATAAAATACTATTCAAGAGGCAGACTGTTATGATGGAGAGAGGGCAGATAGCAGGGTTTGAATTCCATCTCTGCTCCCAGCTCTCCATGTGATCCAGGGAAAGCCTCTTTCCATCTCTGAGTCTCAGGTTCCTTTTCTGTCAAACAAGGGGCATGATCTAAATCAGCAATTATCAATCCCAGTGGTGCAGCAGAGCCACTTGATGGATGTCTGGAGAATGTCAAAGCCTAGATCTCACTGGGGTTGAGAAACACCGGCTCTGAATGATGGCCAAGGTCCTTTCCACATCTATTCTATCATCCCATGAAATGTCTAGAATTTGTCAATGAAAATCTGGGTTTGGATTTGTTTGAGGCATCCATCTTGCTTGCTGAATAGTAAATTCAACTGAACAAGGAAATGAAAACTGAACACCTGCTGCCTACAATGCATTAAATTAGACCCCTTAGGGATTCCTGCACTAAAGACCTTACCATGTGGTCAGATAGGTGGTCATGTGCCCAAACAATTATAAGTAAAAGAGAATGGACATTGTTCCTTTTAGAATTCACCAAACCCATGTGTTAAATGGGTAATTCCTTTAACTTCTACTGGGATTCCTTTTCCAGAAATTCAGAGCCTGTGTTCTACTTTCTTGCTTATACTTCTCCACAAGGAGGGCAGAGACAGATCTGATGCATAGAGATTCAGTGGCCACAGGAGCCTACCTGCCTCCCAACCCCGTAGTCTTTATCTAGGCCTACTCTGAGTGCTGGAATTTAGAAGTGACACAGCATCAGGTTTCATTTTAAACATTTATTGAATGCTTACTATATGCCAGGCACTATTACAAGAGTTTTACATATATTAACTCATTTAATCTGCACATGACCCCATGAGATAGACACTACTTTTTTCACCATTTCACAGGTGAGGACAGTGAGGTGGAAAGCTCATGTCACTTGTTCAAGGTCACACCACTGGTAAGTGGGGAGCTGGGATTCAAACCCAGAGACTGGTTCTAGAATTCATGCTCCTAACCACTTATAAATAGATTCTGTGCCCTTCATGCAATGTTCTTATGGCTACCAAAAATAATCCTTCCAAACAATGAATAACATGGGAAATGTTGATGTTAAAATGTTAAGTGAAAAGTTAATAAAATAAACTCATGTAAGTACTATGAGAAAGACTATGTAAAATACAAACAAAACTCAAATAACAACAACAAAAAAAACACTATATATAGAAAAAAAATGACTGAAAGGAAAATAGTAAAATAGTAACAGTATTTTAGGGATGGGATTATGGGTGATTTTAAAACTTTTCCTATTTTTTTGGTGTTTTTAAATAATGAGTATGCTTTCTTTATAATCTCATTCCCTAGTGGCAAGCAAATACTCTTAATATTTTGCTATAAGAAAACATTAAGTCTAAGCTCTGATATCATAAAAATTAGTTTTGGTTTCAAAATTGGCGGGTCAGTAATTTGAAATTTAGAATATATTTTCTCATGGAAATAAGGATAGCCATAGGGATTAGTTTTTTCTTTTTTAAACTTGCAGTTCTAAGAACTGTGCTAAGAACTTCATCTGTATTTCTTTATTCAGTGGATTAGGAATGTTTTCAGCTCCCTTTTCCAGTGATGGTTAAGTAACTTGCCAGAGGTTGCACAGGTGGAGAGAGCAAGGGTGAGAACTGTTGCTGGACATCCCTCTCCAGGGTCTGTGTTACCCCTGGGCTGATGCTTCTCACCGCAGCCCATTTCAACGAGCATGAAGCTAAGGTACTGCCTTTTTCTCCCAGTCTTATTTTCTCCCACTGCAGCTTTCATTGTGAATATGCCATATTTTGGCCACCCTTTCCAGCTAAGTCAATTTTGGTAACTATCCTGGGGACCCAGCTTTCCCTCAGAATACTATCTGCTGAGAAAATAAGCTTTGGATCCCACCATGGGCTTTTAAAACCTATATACTCCTGCTCTTCACCTCTCCCATCCAAAGATGAATCTTCTCCTGAGGTCCTTCCCAGGTTGGATGCTGTTCTCTTGTGAATGACTGGAACTGGTGCCTCACTTCTGGAAACCTCCAGATGAGTCGAGAGCTTTTGCTCCACCCTCAGTATACACCTGGTCTTTGCCACCTCACCTGGAGCTGGCCAAAGGTCCCTTCTTTAACACGAGTAAATAAACCATTTTAAAGGCATTTGTTAGTGCTGAATCAGTACTGTTTGTGAGCTCTTTTGGAGCATCAAATTCAGGCAAGGAGAGAAGCCCAACCACCCACACTGTCCGCATTAGATCTGCCTAAAATAACATCATTGAGATATCAAACATTCTTAGTTCTGGTTATGGCATCATCTAGGAATGAAAAAAATCATGTTAGATTATTTCCTTGGGCCTACAATTTTATTTTGGATCCCTATTATTATTCTAAAAGGGCCATTTAATTTCCATCTTGGGAATTTTCTCCTTCAGTTCCTATACCAAAGAGAAAACAGAACTTCTGTTCATCCCAGAGGCGTAGAGCCATACTGGCCCAGCTCAGAAAATAGAAAGCATAGCAGAGCTGCCTGTGAGATAGATAGGTGCCATGTGCAATTCACAGAGCTTCCTCACCATCCTAGAGGCCTGCAGTTCTCATGGGATCTTCCTGTGGATTAATACTTGAGATGCTTATGAAGGGAGGAACTGGGTCCGTGGGATGCGAGGGGAGGGAGTCACCCATGCCTTTATGAAATATGCTTTATGAAATATGCCTTTATGAAATATATCTAGCAGCCCGCACATGGTCTGCACCTCCTGATGCTAGGTCAGGACTGAATCATATAAAAGGCAAAGCTTCTCACAGCACCTCAGTCTACCTGTCTCCTGAGTGATCTGCTGCAGTGCCTGAACCAGGTAGAGTGCTTCTCAGGACCAGGATGAACTCTTGGTGCCAGTGTTTTGGGCAGAAAGAGCCCCTGGGTGGAGGTTGAGGCCATTCTTGAAGAAAGACAAGGATAAAAGAGAATTTTGGAGGGGAGGGTTCTTCTGGAAGGGGAGGATGGAAGGTAGGTGAAGGGAATGAAGGACTGATGTCTTTCTGAACTTCCAAGGAATTCATTTGAAAATATAGAGTTACAAAGTGGAAATCATTTGTATCATTCTTGTTACTGGTCTTGGGAGACTGGGTTTTTAAAATCTGGTCACCTTAGGCCAGGCGTAGTGGCTCATGCCTGTAATCCCAGCACTTTGGGAGTCCGAGGTGGGCAGGTCAAGAGGTCAGGAGTTCGAGACTGACCAACGTGGTGAAACCCCGTCTCTACTAAAAATACAAAAATTAGCTGGGTGTGGTGGCGCACACCTGTAATCCCAGCTAATTGGGAGTCTGAGGCAGGAGAATCACTTGAATCTGGGAGGTGGAGGTTGCAGTGAGCCGAGATAGCACCACTGCACTCTAGCCTGAGTGACAGAGCAAGACTCCATCTCAATAAATAAATAAATAAATAAATAAATAAATTCTGGTCATCTTAGAGATAAAATCTTGTGAAATTATAGTTCAATTTTAAGGGCAAGGAAGTGACCTTGGGCTTGTATTGTCTTTCAGCTTTATTCAGCTCCTACAGAGATGTCCTGCCAGCAGAGCCAGCAGCAGTGCCAGCCTCCTCCCAAATGTACCCCTAAATGCCCTCCCAAGTGTACTCCTAAGTGTCCTCCCAAGTGTCCCCCAAAATGCCCTCCCCAGTGCCCAGCCCCATGCCCACCTCCAGTCTCTTCCTGCTGTGGTTCCAGCTCTGGGGGCTGCTGCAGCTCTGAGGGTGGTGGCTGCTGCCTGAGCCACCACAGGCCCCGCCGGTCCCTCCGACGCCGACCTCAGAGCTCCAGCTGCTGTGGCAGTGGCAGTGGCCAGCAGTCTGGGGGCTCTGGCTGCTGCCATAGCTCCAGGGGCTCCAGCTGCTGCCACAGTTCTGGGGGCTGCTGCTGACCTGGGCCATGAGGAGCATGAAGGAGCAGCACTGGCAGAGCCCAGGTGCAGAAGATCTGTATCAGCCTGAGGCTTCTTTTCTCTCGTTTCCCATGGAAGGACTTCAGAAATGCCTTAAGTTCTCCTCTTTACTCTGCCCATGTTCACTCCATTGTGGGGTTGAGGTCTAGCCTGTGATATTTTCTGGCCTGACTTTCCCTCTCAGACATGGTTCTTTGGAAAACTAGGTGTTGTAATTCAGTTATGAAGCTATTTTTTTTCTGTAACAATAAAGCATTTTATTCCTGATATCACTGCCTCCTGATTTCATTGTTTGCCTCTCCCACTCCCTACCTACTGCATCAAGCCATCTTCCCTTCCCTTCTCTTAAATGCAAGCGAACACTTTACAAACTTGTTTGGGGAGCACATTTTGGCAGCGAAGCTACTCAAGACTCTGGAAAACAATATTCCCTTCTATGCACTGGATTCTGGAACTTTAAGCTTGAAGGAAAGAATCATGTCTGAGACCATTACACCAGACACAAGATTGTATGAGGATAGCCAGGAATGGGTTTGAAGAGAAGAGGATGGTTGTACTCAGAGGGTCAGACTCTGAGAGGGTTTCCTTCAAGCATGGGTCACAGTTTGAAAAACTGCTTGTCCTCTATTCATGGGGAATAAGATTGTCTGAAGTGCTCATCCTGGGCTCTAATAAATGGACACTCTTTTCTGATGATTATAAGCCCAGGTGTTTCCATCAGTTGGCTAGAGGGAGAGCTGGGTGGGCAGTGAGTGAGTTTTAGAGGCAGGTATGAAATGTCTGAGCACATTTTCCCTGCATGCTGAAATTCTGGATTTGAATCTGGGTAAAGAACTGAGAAAGACACACTTCTCTGCAAAGACTGTCTCTATGTGGTTGGGACGTGTGTGTGTGTTTGTAGTGAGAGGTATAAGAGTATAGGGGTTTTGGTCCCTGTGTTGGCTTCTCCAAGTAACATTTCTTTAGGAATGGGATGGTTCCTTCAGGAGATACTCATAAAATACCTAGAAAAGATAACTAGAAAATTTAATTCCAAATCAGCCTTTTATATAAAAGATAAACAATTGATGCCTTCTTTGATAAGAGTTAACAGTGATAAATAAAGTAAGTTGGTTTATGAGATCATAACATGCCCACAGAATGAGTAGGCACTTGCTCAGATGATCTCCTTACACTGATTCCTACCAAACACAGCCTTCTTCACTTTTTTTTTTTTTTAAAAGAATTTCGCCCATTTTCCCAGGGGAGATCCTGCCTCTGTCTTGTTATTTCATTACTTCCTTCTCTGTTCTAATATTGACTTTATTTTTTGGAATGTCTCACCTATACTCACCAACAGGTGCTCTAGAACTGGCAACCTGTTAATCAGGCTCTAAATCCACGTTAAATGAAACTGGTATCTTTTGTGCGTATTCCCTCATGCCACTCCCAGCTCACTCACCCCCAAACCTGTCTCTCATCCTTAATTCTTGAATTCTTAGTCTTGGACTTCTGTTACAGTTCACATTCATAGTTGTGGGCAATTGCATTGATTAAGAAGCAGTTCCGAAGTTGATTGCCAAAGTATCCTCCAATTCTTAAAAATTAGTTATTCTAAAAACACTATTTATCATGCACACTTTCGACCTTTGGAAAGAACCTTCCTTTCGCTTTCTTTTTATCTTCCTTCCTTTCTTCCTTCCTGTCTTCCTTCCTTCCTTCCTTCCTTCCTTCCTTCCTTCCTTCCTTCCTTCCTTCCTTCCTTCTTCTTTCTCTTTCTTTTCTTTCTCTCTTTCTCTCTCTCTCTTTCTTTCTCTCTCTCTCTCTCTTTTTCATCTTTCCCTCCTCCCTTCTTCCTTTCCCATTTTCTTTTGCATTGGGCAATGGCTCTAGGGAGGCCCTATCTTCAAAGGGAGATTGGTGGTTGGGGGTAGGATAAGAAGCAGGAGTCCCACAGGCTGACTTGCCTTTTTGCAATTGGGCCACTGTCCGGCACACATGTTTCTCTTAGTCATACCACGCTGTATTATGGGGATATGGTAACCCGACTACATTCACAACTTTTCTGGTCTTATGGTTCCTTAACTTTGCTTGGTTTTTCTTCCTGTCTCCAGTGACAGAGAGAAATCGCCCCTGGGATTCCCACAGGTGCATTCCTGTCATCATCTTCACTCACTGCATCTTGAAGCATATGGATGAAACCCAGCAGGCTTATTGCATAGCTTGTGGTCTGCCCTGGGGAGCCAAGGACCAAGAGCCAGAGAGATGAGAATCAAGATAAAAATAGGTGAACTGCCACCTACCAAGTAGATGACTACACAGGAATTGATGTGTGGGCAAGTTGAGCCGTGTGTGTGTGTGTGCGTGTCTGTGTACACTGAAGACAAGGGCACAAGGGGTTCCAGACCTCCCTGCATTTGAGCCCCATGACTTCTCTTAGCATACACACAGCCTCCCAGGTACCAACAGTGCTCTGTTTGGAAAGTAAACATGCCATAGCAATCCTGGCACCTCTGTGAAGTGACTTAGATGCTCACGTGCACCACCTACAGCGCTACCTGAGTGATGAATGTCTCTGGGATGTGAGTGTCAGCTGAGCATGTCTGTTGGGAAATGGGCCCCTCCCAAGAGCCCGAACCTGAATACTTGTTATAAAAAGGTTCTCTGACTGGACACTGCTCAATCCACTGCCTAGCAGGTGGCCCATTCCAGCCTGAGAACGTAGTGAGTCTTTCAGTGGAGCCAGGGTCCGGTAAGTCTCCTCGCAGGGTCTGGGGGAGAGGGTGGGATGAGTTGAGGGCACAGCGGAGGAGAAAACAGAACACAGGCAGCAGATAGATGCGGAAGGGGTGTCCTACAAGGCACCTAAGCTTCCAGTGAGCCAACCTCTTAAGGTACTAATGAGGGCATAAAGGCAACACAGGAGGTGGCTTTTGCAAGGGTACACAGCAAGTCCACAGAAGAGCTGTGACTAGAATCCAGGTCTTTCAGCTCCCTGGATGGGGTTATTTATATTGGCACAACTCTCCTTTCCCACATGGTTGTGGGGCATGAGAGGCATAGGCAAGAAAGAATGATCAGGACCTGCTTCTGGCATGTGGATTATTTAGATCCAGCAGGTGGGACCGCGTGTTGGACTTGGCGTGTTTTCTAAATGATGGGGTGTAGTAACTAGGAAGATACAAATCGAAGGTCGGTAGGAAAGTAAAATGAGGAAGAGGAAAAAAGCCAAGTGGAGATTTTGAACTGGATCATATAGATAAGCTGCCGCAGTGTGCTGTTTATTTTCCACTGTGGAGAACTTGAGCAGTCTTCTTCTAGTCAGAGAAAATGGAAATGCACTGATTCATTGCATAGATTGTGTCCTGCTCTGAGCATGTTTAACTCACTGGAAGCCCCTGCTTGGATTTGCTTTTCTGTGTCCCGCTCTTTCTGGGTACTTTTCCCGCTTTGTCCCAGGCCAGGCTGACTTGTACACTAAACCGAATCTCAAAAGCCCAGACAGAGTTCCACTGGTGGAAAGAAAAAGCCGGCTCGCCTTTGAAAGGCTGCATTTCTTCCAGGTTCGTCGTGAGGAGCTCCGCGATGTCCTCTCAACAGAGCGCCGCTTCCGCCAAAGGCTTTTCCAAGGGGTCATCCCAGGGCCCCGCTCCGTGTCCCGCCCCTGCGCCCACCCCGGCGCCCGCCTCCTCCTCCTCTTGCTGCGGCGGCGGCTGCTGCGGCTCCGGCGGCGGCTGCTGCGGCGACTCGGGCTGCTGCGGCTCCAGCTCCACCAGTTGCTGCTGCTTCCCAAGGAGACGCCGCCGGCAGCGGAGTAGTGGCTGCTGCTGCTGCGGGGGCGGCAGCCAGCGGTCCCAGCGCTCCAACAACCAGAGCTCAGGCTGCTGCTCTGGCTGCTGAGAGACCCGCAGCCCTCAGCGCTGCGCTAAAGAAACCCGTCCAACCCAGCGCGAGCCCGCCCCGCTGCGGCTCCCACGCGGGGCTGGGCCTCGCAGTTTGCCCCGTAAAGCGAATTGCACTTTGATGTTCAGAAACCCACTTTGTTCTCAGCCACGCAAAACTCCCTGACTCCGATGTGATTTTTCTCCCCAGGGATTCACGAACCATGCGTGGAACACTGGACCCTACTGTCTGCACGGGTTTGCACACAGCAGGTGCTCAGTAAATGCCTACTGATTTGATTGTCTTTTGAAGATGTCATAATAAAGCTTCTACCTCCTGAGAACACCTTTTCTTATTTGTTCTTCATTCGTTTCTCCGCCCAGGTAGAAAGACTTGAAATGTTTGTGAAAGGCAGAATAGTATAATTCATGCCTGAACAAAAAGATGACTTTCTGATTGTTAATTATGATAGCAGCGATCAGATATCGACTGTTTCGAGGATTTTAATGACTTTACGTGACAAAGCTCTTGAGTATTCTCAGGACTTTATGTGGCACAATCTGATTCTCATAATGACTCGTGTAGGAGAGTGCTGTTATACCCTTTTTACAAGAGAAACTGAGGTTAAGTATAATTTGTTCAAAGTCACCCAGCTGACGCCTGATAAAGAAGACAGGACATCTGATTCCAAGGCTTCATTGCTCTGCTGGGTCCTCACCTGGGCTTCCCAAGCCTTACCACCGAGGTGCTCCTCCTGACCACCGGGTTCAGGCAGCTGTGTGGCAAAAGTGTGTTTTGGCAACTCTTGCGGGCTTTGGAATCAAGCCAGCTGTCTTTTTTTATTTTTTATTTTTACGTTTTATTTTATTTTTTATTTTTGGCGTGGAAGATTATTGACCTACTGCTTTGCTTGCTGGGGAGGAAATTTTTCCTAAGATGTGCCTTCCAGGAAAGCTGGAAACTACCCTTTCCAGGTCTCATTTGTGCAGCTGAAGCAGGACCAAGAGCCACGGGTTTCTGGGAGTCTCTGTGGTGCAACATGTGTGCTCAGAAACGTGGGGATCTCATTCTTTAGAGATGGTGGCTGTGGCAGCGGCAATGGGTGGGTCATTTTGCATAGGTCAGAAACCTATCCCTGTGGGCACAGGTTTTATCCACTCATTTCAGGCACGAGGAAACAGGAAAACAATATCCTCTGCTGGGTTCAGAGGGAAGAGATAATCATGGTGATAATAATAGAAACACTAGTTACCATTTATTTGGCACTAACTTTATTTCAGGCACAAGTCAAGGCACTTTACATATATTATCTCACTTAATCCTCACAGTAATTTAAAAATATAGACATTCACTTCCCCACTTTTTATATGGGAGGAAATGGGTTTAGACCATTCCAGTGATTTGGC